GTGCTGAACATAGAACATGGTGGAAAAGGTGGTGCCTCTGAAGCTCTATCCCAGGCATTGCAGGAAAAGGTCTTCTCATTCTCAATATGCTCTTTTTTAAAAAAAAAAAAAAAAATCTGCTTGGTCTGCTCTTGCAATTAATTTACTTCTTTGCTAACAGTTTCTTTACCAATTGCAGTGCGTGTTTCATATTTTTAGTTATATCACAATTAATGTTAACCATACAATATTTTTCAGGTGGCTGCATTATTACTTTTATCACAGCAAGAGGAGAGACACTTACTGGAGAGAAATGTGCATTTAGCTCTTCAAAAGAAAGTTGAAGAACTTCAGAGGAACTTGCTGCAGGTAAATTTCTAAGGCATCCTTGCCTCAAACACCTAAGCAATGACATGCTTGTAGAATGGCGTTGGTAGAATTTAGGAACTAGGATACGGTGCAGCTGGGCAAAATTTTTGCTGAGAACAGGAAGTTAATTGCATGTTTGATTGTCATTTTCTTTATCCATCATGTTCTACTTATTAAACATATCTTTGCCATACTCTCCAAGAAATATAAAACACAAATAATAATGCTGTCTCTAATTTGTGGTTTAGTGCAATCCATTTTCGAAAAACCACTTGTACGTGGATCCAGGGAGTTCAGTTATTTGTTGGCAGCAAGTATACATTTTTCCTTTCTTAACCGATATATATATATTTTTAACCAGGTTACCAATGAAAAGGTGAAAGCTCTCATGGAACTGGCACAAATAAAGCAGGAGAATCATTTGCTTAGGGAGTATGATTACTTTTCCCTTGAATCATTTTCTCTTTCAACTTTTAAGCTGGTAGAATCTCATGTGGAGGTCTGTTTTCTTCCATTGCAATTAGAAAAAATCCTGATTTCTTCTGCTTATCCAAGGACTCAATGTATAAGACGTTCAGTGAGCAAGACTGTAGGAGAGCATTAATTTCTTTTCATGTAGTAATACTGGGGAACGATTAATTTGTTTTCTAACAATTAGATTCTTAATCATTTTGCCAGCTGCAAACTGTTTTTTGAGCTCTTGTTATTTGTTTCTATTGCTAGCTGAAGTGTTTCTCCATCCATGGTCTTACTTTGCTCTAAAGATCTAAACTAATAACCTGCAGAAAATTTGGTCCTCAGACTAAAGAGGAAAAATCTGTGGTTGATAGTGGAGAAAGAAACTTGGTTGTTCATCAACAGGATGGAAGATTAAGAAACTTACTGAAGAAAACATATTTGAAACGATGGATCAATCCACTAGATGCGAGCAGAAATGAAGCTGACAGAGAAACTAACAGTGAAGGGAAATTTTTCCATCGGAGATCTAGCAGCATGGACCTTGCAAGGCATGTGCTAATTATTAGTCTTGGTGCTTTTCTTTATTGTATTATTAGATGATATTGTATGGGAAATCTATGCATATGTCATATCAATTTGACTCATTTGAAGAAGCCGCTCCTTGGCAAATGACTCTGCCTTCTCATCCTTCTAATTACTTGCATAGTTTTGCTTTCTCATTTATCTTTTATTTTCTCCCCTTAGAATGAAGATTGAAGTCGCTACTCTTAAGGAAAGCTTAGAAAGCATGGATCATCTGACTTCTTCGTTTCATAGACTTCGCCTCTCTCTTTTAAAGGTATCACATCACATGAGTAAAAGCAACAATTTTTTCCGTTAGGTAGCTGGTGGATGCTACCTCATAATGGCCTATGTGGTTATTTCATGAGCAATAACATTGATCTCATCGAATCCACCTTAACTTTTGTGAATCCTTCCTTGATGATATCTTCTTATTCATGTAGCACGAACTAAACTTACTGTTGAACTTGTCTACTACAATAGAAATTTATCCTTATTTTTTTAACTTAAATGCTGATAACTTAATATAGGTTGCTTTGATATGGTTTTCAGGCCAAAGATTCGCTGACTTCAGAAGGTACAAAATCTGGTGCTTATCAAGTCCTTGACAGTGTGATCAACGAGGCAAAACTTTTAAGGACTGCTCTTGGCAGCTCCCTACCCATCAGTTGGTCAGCCGGAGAAGATGTTGGTGTCAGCGGAGATAGTACATGCAGTGACTTGGGGTACATAAACCAGGACTGCGGTGATGAGAAGGTAGATACTGTATCGGCTGCTGGGTTTGAGATGATGGAACTTGTGATATTTGCAGCTCAAAAGTTAAAGGACGCTGCAATGCATTCTAATGTGGTTCCTGACATAGAAGCTGCATGAACACCGCTCTGTATAGATCGATGCCCTTTAAGGTGCTGCTCTGAGAAAGGGTGGATGATGTAGAATTAATAGGTAGGAGGATGGGAGTTTGGGGGAATTTGTTTCCGAAGGGAGAAAATTGAAAGCTGTGCTGGACAATCACAACGATACTGTTTCATGCTTGTACAAATTTATTTATTATGTGCGTCTTTCATTCATTCATTGTACATTCACTGTACAGATTGGCTGATTTGAAGGAGTCAGTTACCATATTAGTTCAAAACTCCAAGGCTGATGAGTGCTTTTACCATAGTCTGTAAAATCCTCTGGTATTTTCAGATGTTATGCATCAAAGTAATTCTGGAGTTTGATGTGGCATTTTTGCTATGCGTCTTTTCCTTCTGAGTCAATTTTTCGTTCTTGTCTAAATTTTGTCTGTGTTCTTGGTTGAAATGCACCTTCGCGGCTCTTGTCAAACAATTGTTTTTCTCTTTCGGCCGATAGTTTGGGTTTATTTCGTGAATCAATTTGCTGAAACTAAAAATTCATGCAAACTAATTAAGTTATGAGAAACTGATGTTCATTTCCTCTTTACAGTTTGACATGCGGGTTCTTTTTTACACTAATTTCTCTTAATCTTCTCTTTGGTGAATTTTTCTTCATCCTCTGTTGGATGAGATGGTACTCTGTATAGCTGGTCTACCTTAAAGGAGGAAGTACTATAAAAATGGAGAGCAGTCTCCTGAAAAAGGAAAGGATACAATTTTCAGTTCACAAGAACTTGCAATTCCCTGCAAAATCCACAAGGGCATCCCCCAAAAATTAGTTGAAATCCACGAGCAGGGTATCGAATATTCTTTTTCACTAACCCCACGTTATGCACTTTTGTACTCTTTTGGCCATATACACACATCTCCTTTCAAACTCAAAAACACGTGGTAAATACTCTGGCCGTGCCCAGATCTGTGCCAAATCACCATATAATGCAAATCAAGCGTTTGCCTCAAAAACCATCTTGTGACGCACAATCACACAAACATCTTGGGATATTATAGTGGCCCTCCCTGTTTGAAACTCTATCATTTGTGTTAGTTTCATTCAGTAATCATAATCCAATCAATAAGAGTTAGGCTTAGTTAAAAAAAAGTAATTTCCCGTAACATGGTGAACTAATGTTTTAATCTATACAGGAAGGATATCTATATTTAGTATTTATCAGTATTTCAAATAAAATTGTCTTCAATAAAAAGACAAGTGTGCCTAGAAAAAAAAACCACAGTCCAAACAAAAGCCTTCACCTTCAAAGGAGCCCTAATCTCACAAAAAGATTTTTGTCCAAGTTATTGTGTATTCCGAGGCAAAAATTGAGAGAAGGATAGACCTGAGAGAGATGAATTTCCTGGGTTCTTGCATGTTGAGCTGTAGCAATCCCAAACTCAGCATCTAAACCAATCGGGATCCTTTTCCCTCTTAAAAACTATTGACTGTACATAATAAACTATTCGAGAGAATAAATGTAAAGAGAATATACAGGTCCCATGTACAGTCACTCTTTCATGTCTTCCTCTCTCTCTCTCTGTATATATAATATACAAGACTACATAAATGTTGAAGATTTAACTTCAACTTTGTTGAACAGCATTTTCTCTCTTAATCATTCTGTCATATATGAAGTTAATCATTTTAAAGGATTTCCTAAACAATATACATTAATTTTGAGCTAATTAAGGAATAAGGATTCTCATGACTTGATAGACTCGCCATTCCTTCCCTTGACAGACTCCTTTCTAGGTTTCTTCTTCTTTTTCTCAGAGGTCCTATATATCACTTTTATTGGCATCTCCCTTCCATTTTTATCCAACAGCTGAAGGTTCAGCTTTTCAAGCACTTTCTTCGGGTCTCGATTCTTCCCTTCCTTCTCCGAATGACTCATCGGAGTAACATCTGCAAGCTGCTGATCGATATCAGATTCAGAAACAAACTCGCGAGAAGATGAACAAGAAGCATTTTCATGCCAAGTTGGAGAAGAATTCCCCGAAACCAACGAGGTTTCTGTTTCACATAACGAGTTACAGTCATCGTTGCAACTTTGCTCTTCATCAAGAAGCTGTCCCATTCCTTCTGAACGATCCTCGTTTTCCTGTTCATCAATAATAAGCAAACTTTTTCTGAGCATATCATTGTTAGAACTCAAGAAATCATAATCAAAGCACAACTCTTTTGAGTTCTAAGAACATGAACATAGAGATTTGGAGCCCTTTAAAATCTGAAACAAGGGTGTTACTGTTTCCTATAACAGGTCAAGCCTTACTCTCACTTAACAGAACACACTCTAAAACTCCCATTTAGGGCTGGTTATTCTTGTACATAATTTGGTCTGTGATTCAATTAATATGCAGGGTCACCTTCAGATTACGCCTGGAAATATTGACCTGGTTTCATAAAGTAATAATTTGTACTAGGTTTTTTTCTGTCTTGACAAACTTAATTATCACAACCTGCGTATATGTTGCATATTTTTTCTCTTTATTATGGTAATATAGTATATAGTTTATTATTATTGCTTTCTTCTTCTTCTCTTTTTTTTTTTTGAGTACAAGGAAATACAAGAATGTAGAGAGTAAGAAAAAGAACAAAGGAGAGAGATGATCATAAAACTCTAAATCCTAAAACCCTCAAATGCAGTGCCATGTGTGAGCTATATATGCAAAAGCTCATTGACAATGGATCCAAACAGTGAAGAGGGGAAGGCAAGAGAAAGAAGGGAGAAAAGGGGAAAAAGTATTGAATCGAACAAGGCACGAGGCAGATTACAACGTTGATAGAACAGATCCATAGATGCAATAATACTCCGATTAATTAGAGTTTAAGCACCGACTTTCAAAGAAGGATTGGCGCTGCGATCTCGGGCGTCGCCGTCGAGCTGGCTGTAATTGCCTTTTTCTTTGAAAAGTTGAACGTGATGGTGCTTGCAGTATAGCTTTCCCTCGTGAGTGATGAAGTTGGCTGAGGTTATCGTACAGCCTCCATGGCTGCACTTGAAGCACCCTTTGTGATATGGAGTCCCATTCACTGTTACCTGAAAGCGATAGGTTCGAATTAGCTTCAAAAAATGAATCCGTTGTTTCATTGCTTGTCAGTGAGACGTGAGACTGAGAGGAAGCGAGGCCCCTTTTGTCTTCCATGCATGCAAAGATGTCAATAAAGGACTACAGCGTGGTAAATAAACTTGAAACTATTATAAACTAATTTGAATATGTTAAAAAAGTTAATTTAGCTAGTTATCTGTAACAAATATAAGTTGATATTCGTGAAGTATTTTTTTAGTCATAATTACTCTAAGAACCCTTTTTTATGTATAATCAATAGGAATAATATAGAGAATAAATTATAAATTTAGAAAACAAAATTAATTGAATTCTTATATTTAGAATTAAATCTGATCTCTAGTTAGCTTTTATATTAAGAATAGAAGGTAGTAATTAATAACCTCACATAATGCTGACAAATGTTCAAATGTAATTAAGATTGAATTGATGATCAATCTAACAAGTACATTTTCAATATGATAATCTTATTAGTAACTGTGCTTTTTATGATCAATGCAAGCGGGATTTTTGGCTGTTTCAAACTAAAAATGGGGACTTGAATACATACCCTCTCGGTAGGATAAACTGTCTTCTGGCAACCTGCACATTTGTCTTTGGTACCCAAGAACACGTTTGAGAGAATCTTTGCATTCTGTTACATGTCATTACCAAATTAAAACAATTCACATGAAGGAAAGGAATTAATTCTTCGAACTTCAACACATGCATGCACTGAAAACTCCACTCACCTCGTTATCTGTTTGTTTTTCAGGTTTTTGAATCTTGGGTGTTCCTGCAATTAGTAGAGAGCATATAAATGTTTTCAGGTGGGAATCTATTAGGGAAAACAACCCATTAGTCCAGGCCAAAAAAAAAAAAAAAAAATTCAGAACCAGAAAGGTCCCAAAAATTCATATTCACAAGTGAAGTTTGTAGAAACATTAAATTCTCTGGGACCTTTAATAGAAGTAATCTAATTGAATTAAGATAACATAAAATGAAATGACCTTCAAAGCTCTTCTCAAGGCTACCAGTTCGTTTGTAGAGCTGATCATAATGGGGTCTGCAATATAGCACCCCTTCGAATGAACAGTAGTTGCTCAGCTGCAATATACCATCACCATCATTAATTTCAAATCCTTCTTTGCTTCAAAACCAATTGCATTTGTTTTCTTTCCATGATATCAATTTTTTTTTCCCATGAAAATACATAATTTTTCCATTTTTTAAATATTTAGTTGTTATTTACTATACCTTGAGGGTATTCCGGCAATGGTGGCATCGGAAGCAAGCCTTATGGTAAACACGGCCGTCGGCGGTTAACCGATCGACGGGGTAGGCGGTTTTGTCACAGACTGTGCACTTCTGTGTGGTTCCTACGAAACTGGCCATGGCTTCTTATCCTGACTCAGAAGCCTCGATCCTTGTTCAACTCAGAAAGAGACAGAGACAGAGAGAGATTTTGATACGATTTCTTTCTCTTCTCTTTCTCTTTCCTTCCCTTTTTCTCTTCTTCAATGGTGGAATTATGGGAACGACTCCAACAGATTAATATAAGCAGAAAAACCAGAGGACGAGAGATGAAAAAGCGAAATGAAAAATTAATGGAGGGTGGGCAGTGATTTCCGGGCGAGGGTCAAGAGATTTTACTTATTAATACATTGCTGATCGTAAGTTGTTTATGTAGCTAACCTCTATGTCTATTTTCAAGCAATCCCACCACATTCTCCTCTTTTTACAAGTTGTAAGTGATAAATAAATCATATTGCTTCGGTCGCTATTCGTCTGTACCAACAATTTTAGGTGCTTAGAATAAAAATGCATTTTTTTTTTAATTACTTCTTCAAAATCGCATCTATCTTGTGGAGGCTGGAGGCTAGCCCGATAACGCAATTCACCAAGTGGAGCTTAGTGGTGAAATTTGCATCTGGAGCAATTGCAGATATAATTTTCGAAAGTGTAAGCCTCCCATGTAGAATACAATTTGTATCTCTGCTCAGATTTTTCATTTTTCTCAGCTTTCTTTTGCCTTCTCTTTTCAACACTCGAGTTCTCAGCCGCCGAACTTCATCTATCCTCTACCTTCTAGTGGCGCCTACTCAGGCTTCCACTCTTTCACTGGTAGGTGTGGCTTTCACAGTTTCCAGATTTAATACTTCTTTTGGTTGTTTTAAAATTGGGCTCAGAAAATGAAACCTTTGATATACAGCAAAGGAACAAAATGTGGACTGAAATCCTCCTTGCTTAGGTAGCCAGAATCCTTTCAAATTATAGTTTAAAGGATCAACGTTGTAAAGAAATATGCTTTTTCCAAATAGCTCGAATCAAAGGAGATAAATCATACCATTCGATTGAGAATCTATCCAATCACATTCTCAACTCTTCTCGGGGCAGCGCCACGTTTCTCCAAATCCATAACTTTCTTTTTCATTTTTTAGCTTCGCCCCTACACGGTTCTCTTTCTCGGAAGTTCTTCTTCCTCCCTATCTACCTACTGTTTCACCGCCCGGCATCAGCTCCCCCTGCTTTGATTTTGGCTATTTAGTCCGCTAGAATTTCATCAGTCGTTCTCCTTTTTCTTTCACTCCTGTAATCAACGATAGCCACGTGTTTTCTTTCTCGAGTCTGGAGCTCTCCATCCCTCTTCTGTGTTCATCACTCAGCCAGCTTGTTAGGAAGGGAAAGTGGGGAAGAGAAAAACTTTCGGCCGCCCATCACTTCTTCCTGGCACGAAACGAAGAGGGAAACCTTGAATCATATTTCATGTTTAAAGAAAACTGCTATTCGTTGTGTTCTTGATCTTGGGGGATGCTATGTGGATTTGGGGAAGACACTTTTGTAAAAGGGTTTGTCCAATGTAAATTAGGATTTGATTATAAGCATGAATATGGCTTTGAGTAGGACTTGAGGGGTAGTGCTCATTGTATGGCATTGTCTCATACACACACCAAATGCTTGATAAATTGCAGGAGAGACTTATAATTGAAGTCCCTGGCCAGTGCATTATAATTGTAGCTTTTTGTTGGTTTTGATACACACGACATTGTTCCTCTTTGTTATATTTACTCGTGAGTGTCAAAGTGGTGCCCTTCAGTCCTTGCTAGAATCTCAAGAATCAAGATGCTTTTTCTCTGAAATCCTGGTTTAATTTTTTTTACATTAAATTGATTATCCTAAGATGAGGTTGTGATTGTTGAATGAAAACTAGGTTCACTTGGCTGTGATGAACGTTAGTATGCATCTAAATGATTTAGGTTAGGGGTTTATGTTACAGTGAAACTTACTTTCTTTGTTGTTAATATGTGTCTACATTTATGTTGTAGGAAGTAGGGAAATGCTTTGCATATGATAGTTCTCGACCATTGGGTGTTCTTACATAAAATGCTTGTGCTCGAGAATTTTTTGTGCTTTTGATCTTTTCATTCATTGCTTGTGAGTTAAATGAAACAAAGTTACTGCTATTAGAAAGTGATTGGAACCCCCCCCCCGGCCCCCCGGGGGGGGGGGTCAAAGATGAGATATAAGTCAGGATTGTCTGTGGTTCTCAAGGTGAAAGCATACTCTCAGTTTGAACCTGTAAACCTTGTTCCTTGCATGGCTATCCTTCAAGCTATATTAGCACTTTCATATTCCAAAGTTTTGGTAAGGTGTTTGTCAGTTGTCTTATCTGTTTATCTCTATTATTTCCTCTATCATTGATTATTTAAAGTGTGACATGTTATTTACTTGGTAAATGCTTGGGATCTCAACTAGTAGAGACTGAATCAAACTTCGCACCAGTGGCATTTAAGGGACTAGTCTTTCCTTTGGACAGTCTAGAATAGTTTGTAGTTAAATGTGGGGTGCATGTATATTCTGTTGACTACGTAGGCATATTATTGCCATCTAGTTATAGCCACACAAATTCCACAGAAAAGGACCTCTGACCTGCTTTGTAGTTTGTTGAGCTGATAGCTGAGCTCTCATGGTTGTTTCATGAGATTTTTGGCTGGCGTAGGAAATTTCAAGCTATCCTACTTGGAATCATGAGTTGATATTCTAAATAAAATTGTCTTTTTATCAATATTTCTGCATGAAAGAAAATTAGAGATTTCATTATGCTTGATGTGAGATTGATCCTCTACCCCTGCTGACTGCTGACCACTCTTCTGGCGTTGGGGATGTGGTTATTATTCGACTGAAAATGGATCCAATGACATTGTAGCAGTGACATTTGCATCTGAAGCCATAATGCATGTAGAATACAATTTTATAAAGGGCAAATCAGGCATTTAGTAGTGGCTGGAAAATGTTTCGTCAAACTTCCCTAGTGTAATGTAATGGATTTTATTTTGGATTTTACACTAGCATGGTCAAAAGTTTATTCATCCTACCTAGCGCTAATACCAAAGTAGTTCGTTTTATGTTTTTATCTCGTTGAAGCTTCTTCTGCTTAATTATATAGGAAGATATAGATTAAAAATATCATAGGGGCCGGGATACTTTGTATAAAAAGGTTTTTGTGGCTATAATAATAGTTTAATATGGATCCTGATCTTCATTCAATTGTTCTTTCTTTCTTTTGGGGTAAGTAGACTTGATTATTATGCATATTGAATGACTGTTCGACATGCTGAGTGACTCTGATACATAAATTCTTTTTAATAGTTCAAATCAATTATGTCATGATCAACAGGGGAATGAGAGTTTTGCGAAGTCTTGAGGTCTGGAAACTGGGAATTGTGAACTATTTGGATGCATTAAAACTGCAGGAAAAGCTAGTCTTGGATCGTAAATCCCATAGGATATGTGATACTCTTCTGTCCTTGCAACATCCACCTACATATACTGTTGGCAAACGACGAACTGATCACAATTTATTGATTCCACAGTCTGAACTTGAACGGGTAGGGGCTGAGCTTCATTACACGCAAAGGGGAGGAGACATTACATTTCATGGTCCACACCAAGCCATTCTATATCCTGTTATATCCCTTCGTGAGATGGGACTCGGTGCTCGAAGTTATGTGGAGAAACTCGAGTTGACTATGATTGAACTTGCTGCTCTGTATGGTGTGAAAGCTTGTCCTGGACAGGCTGGTGAGACAGGGGTATGGGTTGAGCAAAGGAAGATAGGCGCAATTGGTGTACGGATTTCTAATGGAATCACTTCTCACGGGCTGGCGTTTAATATGGATCCTGATCTGTCCTACTTTGGGCACATAGTTCCCTGTGGAATTACCGATAAAGAGGTCACTTCTTTGAGAAGAGAGACAGGTCTTGTCCTTCCTGGTGAAGAGACAATTCAGGAGCAACTGGTTTCTTGTTTTGCAAGGAATTTTGGTTATAGTAGTCTTATCTGGAAGGAGGGTACTCCAGTACTTTCCGATAAGGATGATACAAAATGAGATATAATTATTTTGTGAATTGATGGTTGTATAACTTTTATTCTGCCTTTCTTTAATTCTTAGGAAAATCTTCTAATAGAAGTCATTGCCCATTGCGCATATACACACACGCGCGTTACGGTGTAAGAATTTTTTTTTTTTGGCATATAATGGATGAAAAAAGCAGAGTGATGGAGATGTGATCGACCTGTATGAAATAAGATTTACGGGGACAATAGTAAATTATATACGTCTTTCTCTTTTCTGGTCTGGTTTTTTGGTTGAAAGAAATTCCAGACCCTAGTCCACCAAGTTGAAGCAAGCCTGTCCAATGTTTGTCTAGCTCCTCTAAAATATGAAAAGGGTTGGAACTCGGAAGATTCCCGGAAAGAGTACTAAAAATCATTCATTTTTATTCTGGCCGACACAGACCATGTTCTTCTCAGTAGAAACAGTACTCAAATCCCCGTCGCCACATGCAGTTTTGTTTGGTATTTATTTCTAAGCCAGATGCCTTCCAACAGTAACCTCTATCTTTGAAAAGAAGCCTTCAGAATCCACTTGGCTATGCCCTCTATTAACTAAATAACTATCATACTTCATAGAACTATGCTAAAAGCCATGTCAGGGAGGTCACATGTTTAGTGGAGCCAGTGCTACTATTTGAAGAAAGTTGTCTTCTCTACCTTCCCAAAACAGTGCCATGTAATTTTGAGCCATATTTTACTATTTGGTTGAATTTCAGGATATGAACAAAGAGACTGCTGAGGAAAAGAAACTTCCAGGTTCTGTATGACAATCTTACCCTTGGGAAAAAAGTATAACAATCTTACCCAGCCGAGTTTCGCTGTTGCTGCCACACTCATCAGAAGCCAATAGGGTACGATCAAGTTAATTTAATCATAAACTTGAGAAAATGAAGAAACCGATCTTGTATCATGTGACTGTCACACGAAACGTTTGCCATGTTACATCAAACAGATTATAGAGAAAACAGAAAAGTGTAAGATTCAAAACTTAGTATCACATGACAATCTCCATTCCACGTTCAATCCGACAAAACACCAAAGATAATGTGCCCTGTGGAACAATCCATCTTTGGCAGCTACTTCTTTCCCTTTCCCTAAATCTGAAATCTTTCACACTACCAGTGTCTACTATAACTGTAGGCATAGTATTTTGGTACTCGATCCAGTCACAGAACCATTCTATATATCGATAAGAAACTTTGACGTCGAGAAGGTGCTCCACCTTTTAGATGCCTTCTATCTGCACAATGGAAGTGATCTACTGGGATAGATGGAACTCCTGATCCCTTAACTATCTGTTCCATTTTTAGTTTAAGCCAATCTGCCATGAATAACACTCAAAGAAGGGCTTTCTTTATACTGATTCTCATACATATCATTCGGTGTTCTAGAGTTCCAGCAAGCTGTGAGGCTGAAAGTAGCCAGCTGATGGATTGGTATTCACCAAGAAAGTTGCTAGCTTATCCCTCCTCATTCTCTCCGATGATATCTAGTTTAGAAACACGCCATGAAGCTTCCTGGAGATCTGTGGATACAAGTTTAAGGACGGCGCCTCCAAGCAATTCAAATCCGATCCAGAACAAGTGACCTTGAGGTGATGTGTTTGCAGATTGCAGTGTGCAGTTTGCAGTTTGCAGTTTGCAGGAAACTTGAAATTCCAAGCAGGATCACATTTCTCACTTAACTGCTGTATTTTTTCACTTATCGACCAAGAGAAAAGTTCTCAGTTGATATACCACGAGGCAGGAATTTCTGTTTACAATATTATGGAAGAAATTGAAACAGTAGAATTGCTTGTTTCACGAAGATCAGTGGCCTCTTGCCTGTGGATTTCTGTCGAAAAGATTACGGTTTTCAGTTGACCATGGCTAAATAGGCATGTTTTTTCTTTATCTAATGTATTTTTCCAGTTTAAAAGGCACTTGCCCAATATAATTTTGATCCTGCAATTGGCCCATCACCAATAAATTAGATATGGGCATGGTTAAAATTCGGAGCTTTGACAAACAATTTGCCTAACTGGCCTGTATGTTTAATTGGAACCAAGAAATTGGCAAGGATTCCAATTGGGACTTGTTATCTAAACAAAAACATGAAGCTTAGGCTTGAATGGATTGATTGGAGAGACCTATCACCTGTACTCCCATTTATGGTTCATATCAGTGCTATTAACTCAACAGATGTTACTAGACTCTCTCTTTTCATCTGAATTAAGAAATGAGATTAGACCTAAGGTTCTTTTGATTTTCTAAGAGAGTTCAATTTGAGGTCTAGATAAGTTACCCTCCTGTTCCAAACTTAATATTACAGATAATCTGGGCAGCGCTGAAAAGGATGTTTCCTGGGAGTAGCATATTACTTTTTGGCTTTCTATGTGTGTCGGTATCACACATATAGGTACTTTTCCCTCGCAAAGCATTGGCTTTATGAAGATACTTAACCTAACAACTACTTTATCAGATCTTAAGAGCAAAGCAAATCCACTGATTCGTGAATCAGTTCATTCAATTTGTCCCAAATCACTGGCCAAGTTCGCTTCTCACACTCTATCAGAGAACAATATAACACAGCAAGAGAGAGTACAATGCTTTTAGCATACTCCAACTTGTGATAAAATCAAATATTTCCAAATTTATTAAGAATTCTCTGTATTCAGCTATAAGTTATGATCTAAAGTATGTGACTGTCCCACCATGTGAACCGCCTATAAATTAACCACAACGTGAAGAATCTAACTTTTTGAAAATGTTCTTGAAAGGGGAAAAACGTCTCAAGATTTTGATAGAGATGGAAGGCATGCAAAATCAAACACTCCAACTACATATGATTGCTTTTAAAAAAATAAAAATTGTTGTTGAGATGTACACATTTTTCAAAGCATAGATAACAAATTAAGTTGTTGACAAATCAGGTTTTATTTTTTGCCAATGGACAAATCAGGTTTTAGTGCGCTAATAAGAGTGAATTATTGATGAACATGATGGCTACCAAAATGTACAGTCATGGGACCCACCTCACCTCCATATTGACAACTAAGGAATCCAATAAGCAAAGATTTTTTTCTTTTCTTTTAATAAAATGAGTCGGAGTACACATCTTACGTATGTCCTTATTTATATTAAAAATCTTTCATAATAATAAAATATATGGAAAATTGTAAAAAAAAAAAGACTTTGGAATTGCAAAAATACAGATAGGGATCTTTGATAACTTCACTTTGAGTTTTGACAATAATAATATGTCATAAAGTTGTTAAAACCCAAAGTGAAGTTGTTAAGGGTCCCTATTTGCATTTTTACAATTCTAAGATCTTTTTTTACAATTTCCCCTAAAATATAACTTTAATACAAATTTCAAAACGATTCCATAGTTCGATTCAATAGTTAAGAGCTCAAAACATTCATATATCAATATTAAATCTAAAATTTATAGAAAGCTATCCCATTGACAGGTTATGATGAGGCTTACCCCGAATTTTTGGCTGCTTTTTTATTCTGTAAATTTCTCCACACATTTTATTGAACTCCTGGCAACTTTGTTCCTTCAATATTCTCATATTTAAATGTTAAAAAGATGAGCGTAATATTTCCAAAAAAAAAAAAATTCGTTATCCTCTCTTAAAAAAAAGTCTAATTTTCTATAAATAAAAAATAAAAACAAGCAACGCTTCCCCTCCTTATACCAGCTCTTGGACAAAAATTATGTTTCTTCTTACCAACAAAATATGTAAATAAACATGTGATTCGAACTATATAAATTGTGTTAGGATCATTCACATTTTAATTTAATTCTTTTATTGTTTTATTTTTGCACATGCTAAGAAAATCTATATAATAAGTATGACCGGTAAAATTTTCGTAAATAAATTGCAATAATATTAGACGTTTATTAAGGTAGAAAGCATTGTTAATATAGAATATAAAAAAAATAAATTTACCTCTAAAAAAATCATGTTCATTTTATATACTTTATTTAAAAATTCATTTAAATTATATAAAATATTGTCAATATCAATATATAAAATATAAAACCATGTTGTAGTAACTATTTACGATTCATAACTAATTTCCCAGCCACACACCCCTTGTAATAATACACATGGCCAACTAAATTAAATATAGTTGATGCAGATGTTCATTGAGAACAAAATCATAGAGAATCATCTCTTTTTGTTCAGAAAGTGGCTCACCACTTGCCACCTGAAAGAAAAGTATTGCTTCCGGAATATTCACCAATGGTGGGACTTGTATTAGTTTCATAGTTTGGCTCCCACGCTAAACTTGATATTCCTTTTTTGGATCTTTGAATCTTCTTCTTCTCCTTCTTCTTCTTCTACTTCTGTAACTCAGCAGCTCTGGGAATGAGTTTTCCAAGCTTCGCATGTATTATGGATTCGTTTAAAGTGGTTAAAGACGGAGTTTGGTTCTGCGTTTCAACGATTTGGGAGCTTCAAGAAATTCGCTTCTCCAGAATCTTGCAGTACTTGAAAAACATGGCTGTCACTGTGATCGCATCTGTTCTTTCTTGCTTTTTAGGTCTCAGAATCAGAAGACGAACCAGATGAGAAGAATATTCTCTTCCTGTTTCCCTCATTTTCTTAGTTTTTTTTTCCTGCTAAATCCTCCAACATCGCACCAAACAACCTCAATTTTCCCACTCCTACATTCCTCGGTTGTTCTTGCACTGTGCGGGGGTCAACTCAAATTTGCGGGAAGAAGATGAACATGTAAGATGACTTGTCGAGGCATCTATGAGTTTTAGATTCTAGCCGTTCAATTCATGATGATTTCATATTCTCAGAAATGATCTTCATTTCAGGTTATGCAGTCTGAAACAGATTCCTTGAGCATACATATCTACTACTACTGCTTCTGATCTCTGGATATTTACCACTGAATGCTGATAACGGGAGCTCATAGAATTTTTCTCATGAATCACAGTCTCGTGCTAGGAATATTCTTGAGCAATAAAAAAATCCATCATCATGTCTGAATCTTCTTTTCTCAATTTCTTAAGCCCAAATAAAGATATACCGTATCACTTCATCCGATCGAAAGGGGAGCTCAGCAACCCCTATTTGTTTTACTTTAAACAAGGGATATGTGGATTAATAATCGCCTCGTAATTTTTGTACCCATATTAATTTGATCAAAATTTTAAGTAAAATAT